TTGTGTGAAACCCCTTAAGAGATAGCTCATGCTATCACCCAGCTCCAGGAGCTGCAGGGTTATGCAGGAACACCCAAATTCCATGAGATGCCTGAGAGTCACAGCATTTGGCAATGCCATCACACCTCTTCCAATTGCCAAACCAACTCTCTTCCTAGGGGTTACAAATATTGAAGACACTTAAATGTTGGAGACGACCTTTTGGAAATCTCCTTGGATTTCTTAGTCATTAATTTAAAGCCTCCCAAAACAAGCACTCCCAGGTTAAGGGTGGGAAAGGCTTTTCTCTGCTGACCTGCTCGAGTGCCTGTCCCCTTCTGAACACCTCTGGAGATAAGAATCTTCCAGCTTAGACATGAGGCACCCCAGTGCACGGTTTGGGATTAAACCAGCATGTAAAGAGGTGGGAGGGGATGCCCATGTCCTTGCTACCCCCAAAAGAGCTGTATTCCCCTGTCCTTCCACCTCTACACCCACAGAGGTTGCCACCATGGTCCCTCTGGTCAGGGGAGATGCATGAGCCAATCTTGGATGTCCCATGTGCTCCCTAAGGCATCTGGGGGATGTTTCTCGGACAGCTTTTGGGGCAGTGCCTGCTCCAGCCATGCTCCATCCTCCCCTTTCAGCTAACAAGGAGCTGCTCAGGGTTTGAAGGAACAACAAAAATGAAACTCAAGACTTACTCTAGGAAAGCCCTTCCAGAAAGGTCACGGAGGAGGACTCAGGGCAGCTCTGCGAGGACACCCACGCTCCGCCCAGGGCACCCCGAGCAAAGCTGGGCTGTGTCCCCACAGTGTCCTCAACACTCCGTGCCCCTCCCTCCACCAGAGCAGCTCTGGGATTTTGTGGCAGACACACCCCCTCGACCACCCCCAAGCTTCACAGCTTCTGCTGCTGCCTCCCTCGCGCACCAACTCACCAGTTTTTAAATAACACACTTCCATGGGGCCAGATCCACACTCAGCATGGTAAATCCAGATCAGCTCTCTTTAGGCTTTGCTGATAATTCCCAGCATGAGCAAAACGTAACCACTACTTGTTTCTCCTTCTCTTAAAATAATGGAAGCTGCGCCAAACCCCGTGTGAGAGACCCATCAGCCCAGCTCCCCTTTGACATCATTAAACGAACACGGATGGGTGTGAGACCTTTACACAGCCCTTATATAGACGAACCTCAGAGCCCATTTTGTCCGTGTTTGGGATCATCCTTCTCCCTGTTACTGAAAGGAGTTATTTAAGGGAGCCCAGGGATACAAGTTGGTGCTGGAGAGAGGTCTAGGCTTTACAGAAATCACTGCATGTGCCTCCACACCCACAGCAGCACCACCACCATGTGACCCACCCTGGATTTCCTCAGCCCATGATGCTAAAACAAAAAACATAAAGAAAACAAACAAACAAACAAAAACAACAACAACAAAAAAAACAGCCCCAAAAAATCATTTTCTTTGTACTGGGTGGTTTTTTCAGGACTCAAACATGGCTTTTCCAGAGTGTCAAAGGAATTAAGTCATTAAAATGTGGATGAGTTTGATGGATTTCAGTTATGAAAGACTGGTAGCTACTGACTAATAAGGCTGGGAGGTGGAGGAGGGGGGGATGCTTCCTCTTGTAAGGATGTGTTTCTAACAAGACAGGTCAAAAATATGATGTGGATGATAAATTGCTTTAATACTTGCCATTAACCCAGCAGTTTTATGCATTATTAGATTACCAAGGCATCCTCGGAGTGGATTGGCCACGCAGCCCTGCTCTGTAGCAGGGCTAATTTGCAGAGTGAGACCTGGGGGGGGGTATTACGCTCACTGCAGTGAATCCCCACTCCCAACAAAGGGGCAGCTGTGGGCAGGTGTCCACGGAGGGAATGGGTTTATCCGTGTTGGGGTTGGGGTGGGGGAGAGGAGAGGGGGATTTTTTTTTTCTTCTCCCCACACCATAACCCAAATCTCATTGTCTCACATGGCATGGAGTTGGTAGGGGGAAGAGGGGTTGAATTTAAAAAGAAAAAGGAAACAAAACAAAACAAAACAAAACAAAAAAGGGGGGGGAGGGGAGGGAGAGGGTGGAGGGTGGGAGAGGAGGGAGAAAATAATAAAAAAAAAATCACATTGGAAAATGATCAGCCCCAACAGGCATGCATGTCTCCCTTCATGCAAGCGAGAAGCACAGCCTCCCTCCTCGGGACGTGTATGGGGACGTGTCAGGCACGGAGGAGCTCAGCGCTGGCCCGGGGCAAGGATGGAGCGAGAACAAAGGGCCACGGCATACACTACATCCAGGGGGGAGCAGAGGGGCACCCCACCGGTGCTCATACAGAGGGGGACAGGATGGCCAAACAGTCACCGAGGTACACGGAAAAGGAAATATGGAGAAGGAAATCATAAATAAATGTTTATAGAGAAAACCAACCAAACTCAGGATAGAGGTAGGAGAGAGGTGGAAAGGCACAGCCTTGCGAAATGATGCATCTCTGGGAGGGATGCTGGGGTAAAGGCAGGGCGGGCTGCAGGAGCCAAAGGCTTTTGTTTTGCTTGCCAGCGGCTCCTCGTGAAATTTTAGCGGGTGGGAACCCAAGACCTGCTGAATTTGTCTTCCTCTCATTAAAGACCAATCCTGCGTCTCCCCCTCGCTCCTGTGGAAATGTAATTAAAGAAAAGATGCTCCCCCCGCCTCCCCTCCCAGCCACATCTCCTGGCTTTGGGAGCCCTGACTTCCTTCAGTTCCTCGTGGCATCCAAGCCAAAATGGGGAGGTTTTACAGGACCATTTTGCAGACCTAGGAGAGGAGGTCTGCTGCAGGCACAAGGAGAGGTGACCACTACTATTGTCATTGCTTTGCAGCCGCAGCAAACTGCTTGCTGACGACAATTCATCCATTCCTCCAGGCTTCCAATATTTTAAGGCTCCCCATGACTTCTTCTCCCAACCCCATAGAGTTTGCCTTTATTTTTATTTTACCAAATCGAGTTTTTATTCAGAAGATGGTGGGCCTGGAGGCTTTGAGCAGGAAAAATGTAGTTACAACATTAGCAGCTGGGATGTTTTTACGAGCCCTGCCTTGCAGGGGTCTAGTGGAGATATTTATAGCATGCCAGTCGCCCTGGGACACAGGCAGGGCAACTTCTCGCCTGGCAGATGGTGGGCAGGGCACTCGCAGAGATGTATATGTTTAAAATACACAGCTTAAAGAGTAGAGGGGGGATTTTTTTTTTTTTTTTAAGTACAAGTTGGTTTATCTCTTGTTAAGCAGGAGTTTAGGAAAATAAACAGTTCTTCCCCCCCCATCCATACAGAGGGATCAGTCTGGTAAAGGAACGTGTAATGTTGTAACTAGAATGAATAAGCAGCAGACCCTTCATCAGATTTTTTTTTTTTTTTTTGATTCATAATGAGGGATTGGATTTGTACACTTTTTTCTTTTTTGGCTGTTCTGCAGTAAAACCAGAATTCTGCATCGGCACAACAGCAATATGGACTGTGCGCTGGGAAGTATGTACACACAGACTAATGCTGAGGGTAGATATGGGATAGAAAGTGGCGGGGGGAGAAATGTATTTAAAAGTCCCCCCATATCTGTTCTACGAGGGAGAAAAAATCCACTCACTCAAACTTCATGATGAGGGGAAAGCAAGGAAAAAAATCTAAACAGCAGGATACGACAATAAATGGGAAAACAGCAATAGAAAAAGCACACTAGGTTAATATAGGAAAACTAGATTCTTTATTGAGAGATCGTATATTAGTATTAGTGGAATCGTGTGTAACAATGCCATCATGCACACAATACAAAAAGGCAAGGCCCACCATGCTATGGAAGGGCAACAGAACAAAAGCAGCGTACACTGAGCAGATGTATAGGCTACAGCACATTACATTTCAGCAGGGTATGTCTCTACAGAGAGATTTACATCAGAAACTAGGTAATGTAAAAAAATACAGACCATGCTTTAGTTTTAGTACAAGAAAAAAGGTGGAGATACACAACCAAAGGATATTCGGTACAGAAAAAATTACCCACAAAATAAGAACAGGAAGTAATTTAGCACAGCAGAAAAAAATGTTATCCCTGTTTAATGGAAAACCATTTTGCCAGTCGTCTCTTTCGGCAGCCCTGGTTTGGGTTTTTTTTCGGTTTTTTGGGTTTGGGTTTTTTTTGGTTTTGTTTTTTGTTTGTTTGTTTGTGTTTTTTTGTGGGGGTAGGATGCTGGGCGGGTTGGGGTGCGCCGGCGGGACGGGACACTTGTGGCTGCGGGGAGGAGGGGGCTGGGGGCGATGCCCGCGGGGACAGCGGTGTCACCGCGGGGACAGGGATGCTGCACTCCCGCCAGCGGCACCTCAGCCGCTGCCTGACCACGCACATCCCCTTCCCCGATCCCATGTTCGCAACCGCGGCCAATCGCTGCGCTTCCCCCCCCAGATTTAATGGTTTTCGGAAGGTTTTCAGCAGGGAGGTGGGACCCCAGCGTGGTCCCCTCCAGCCTCAGCCGCCCCGCGATTGAGGGCTTGGCCGCAATTTGGGGGCGCCTGCCCCCACCCCACCCCAAAGAGACTCTGCGACGACGATCACAGCAAAACGAATCCACTTAACAGGAATTTACAGTGCAAATGTAACTCAGCTACTACACAGGATGAAGGTACAAAAATGGCTGTTATCAGCTACAGCTACGCTGGGATGGCCTGGTGGCTACGGTGAGGGGTGGGGGTGGGGGAGAGGGTAAATAAAAAAACAAAATGAAATCCGTAAAAGAACGGGAGTGGTGGGGGGGGAGGAAGGGGAAACAGATCTACCGCAGCGGAGACGAGAGGTGCGGGCGGGCGGGGGGCTCCCAAAACGCGGTGTGCGCATCCCCAGGAAGGGGATGCCGCCCGGCGGGGAGAGGCGGGCTGAGGGGACGCTGAGGGGCAGACCCCCCGCCTGCTGCCGGGGACCCGGGACGCGCCGCCCCCCCTCGCCGCCGCTAGCGGCCCCGGGACGCGAACCCGCGTTGCCGGGAGCGGTACCTCTGTTGCGCACGGAGCCGAAGACGGGCAGCACCAGGTATCCGACGTGCACCAGGACCATGCTGCGGCCTTTGTGCCCCCCGGACGCGCCGGCGACTGGCGGCGGCCGCGCTCGGCCGGCACACAAAGGGGCGCGCGGCCAATGGCAGCGCGGGGGCCGCCGCCGGGACACGCCCCCCGCCCGCCGGCGGCCAATGGGCGCCGAGGGCGGGGCGGCGCGCGCTCGAGGGAGGCGCGCACGCGCGCTGTGGCGGGGTCGCGTGCGCGCGCATCCGCCGACTGGTCCGTCGGGCCGTCCGTCCTTCCACCTGTGTGTCTGTCTGTCCTTCCGGCCGGCCGGCCGTCCTTCCACTTGCGTGTCTGCCTGTCCTTCCTTCCGTCCGTCCGTCCGTCCGTCCACCCATCCACCCATCCATCCATCCATCCTTCCAGCCATCCAGGCATCCATCCATCCATCCATCCTCCATCCTTCCAGCCATCCCTCATCCATCCATCTATCCATCCACCCATCCATCCATGCTCCCACACAAGCACACCTCTGTCAGCCGCACACACGTGCACACACATGCAGAAATGCACACACAGGCAGGGCAACATCCCTGTGGCTCTTGCAGCAGCACAGGTGTGCACAGACACGCACACACCCCTCACATGCACAGACACATGGCAGAAACATGTTCAGAGTACACACGGACACCGCCACACCTGGACACGGTCACCCCCACACCCACTCACACAACCAGGCACACGCGCTCCTGCTGTCCCCCCGGCCACAGCCCCCGTGCTCTCCCACATCACACAAGCACGGGTCACAAGTCTGGAGCACTCCCTGAGCACATCCCTCGCCCTGGCACTCGCCCCCTAAGCCAGAAGCAGGGCCACTGAGGGCTTGCCCCTGTCCCCATCTCAGTCCCCATCCCCGTGTACATCCCTGTCCCCATCCCACGTCCCCACGGGTGACACAGTGGCCTATTATGTTGACGCCCCAGTTACTGACAGAATTTGTCCGCCGGGGCATCCCTGACCTCAAATGGTTCTGGCCAAGCCCGAAGGGGTGCGGAGAGCACCTGGAAACCTCTGGGAGCTCGGAGCCACCCACCTGCTGGTGCAACAAACACCCCCAGCCTAAGGAAGGGCGATTCATCTCCCGCAAAAAAAACCAAACAGACGCTGATCTCGATTTAAAACTGTTTTAATGGAGTCAGAAGCCCCCGTTCTGCAAGAGGGAGGGTTGTGTGTACTCTGTTGTGCAGGAGGGATTTCTGGTAAAGTGCCAGGGAATCATTTCACCCCGCTGCAAAGCGACTTTTCTATGGCTTTCCCACCCTGCCCAGGCTGTGGTTTTTTTGTTGTTTTTTTTTTTTTTTTTCTTTCGCTCCCGTCCCCCCGCCCACTGCAGCCTCCGCCCAGCCGTGGGGAGCTCCCTTAATCCCCGTTTAGCCTTATCCATCCCGTGCATCTGGCAGGTTTAAGCGCCCGGCAGCCTCCGGATGCGGATATGCGATGGATTTGTCCGCCTGGATTATGGCATTGGGTCTGTCGTTGGGTTGAGTTTGTGGGTTTGTTGTTTGCGGGCGCCCCGGGGGGCGGGGAGGGAAGGGTTGGTTTGGTTTTTTTGTAGTTTTTTTTTTCCTCCTGATCTGAATAAAAGCGTGAGTTTGGTAACCCGAATCTGTGTAACCCCTTCCCTGCCTGTTGCACAGCCCCAGGGCATATGCCTGGGAAGGATTAACTTGATCCGCAGGAGAGCTGCCAGCTCGCCCTCGAGCCTTCTCCAGACCTCCAGCCTCCACCCCAGACGGCCCTTCTGGGCACGTTCTCACAGCTGCTTCTCTGAGCTCCGCTCAAACGGGAGCAGGACAAGTTCCAGGTGCACACTGCCTCCCGGTGCCCATCCCATTGCATCTCAGCTCGGGTTTCCCCTCCTGCCTCACCCCCTCGGTGCCCTCAGGAGGCTGCACTGGCTCGTGGGGGGCTCCTGGCACGGAAGGCTGGACTTTGTCTTCCCCGCCCCGGCACTGTGCTGCTGTGAGCCTTGCTCGCCCCAGGGCTCAGACAGCCCTGGCAGGCAGCACATGATGTCCCAACAGCACTGTATTTCCAAGAAAAGAGCAAAAAGTGTTGTTTCATTTTTTTTCCCCTAGAATCCTAGAATGCTTTGGGCTTGAAGGGACCTCAAAGCTTATCTAAAACCATGGGCAGGGTCACTTTCCACTATCCCAGGTTCCTCCAAGCCTCATCCAACCTGGTCTTGGACACTTCCAGGAGCAGTCGCAGCTTCTCTGGACACCTGTGCTAGGGCCTCCCCACCCTCACCATCAAAAACTTCTTCCTTACATACAATCTAATCTAATTTTCCATGTTTATGTCATAATGAAATGCTTCCTGAGCCCCGTTTGTGTGGAAAAACAACCACTTCTCACCCGTCGCTGTCAGCAGCAAGAAATCACCCCCAGCACCGAGGTGTGATGTCGAGCTGGCGGTGTCACACACGCCCGACAAAGGGACACTTCTTTAAGCGATGAAAAGCCCGCAGGGTGCAGCGCAGGCAAACCCACGCGTGAATCAGGCAAGGAGGGATGCCCACCGTGCCTCCCCTGCTTCCTGACGCTGCAGGAAGGGTCCCGGGAGCTTATGAATCACGCTGGCGCCCGGAGACAGCTGCGGGCCCCGGGCCGGGGCTGCAGCCGCCCAGCAGCCCCAGCTGCCTCCGGCAGCTGCTCCGGCGGCCCCGGCCCCGCCGCAGTTGTCCCGGGCATTTCACGGGGCTCAGCCCTCGTGGCTGTTCCTTTGCATCCGCACACACATTCCCGCCCTTCCCGGGACACCCGATCCTCCGCAGATGCCGCAGGCACAGGTTGCTGTTAAAATTAGCCCCTGGTTCCCTCCTGCCTGCGGGGTGCCTGCTGGCGAGCCCCAGAGCACCTTTTGGGGTCCAGCACCCCCTGTTTGGGGCATCCTCCTGCCTTTGCCCCAAGCGCTCCTTAAAAAGGACACCCACAGGTGTCCCCGTGGGTGGGTGTTTTGGGGATGCTGCAGGCACAGGGGGATGTCTCACCCCTTGGTACCATGGGGAAGGATTCTCCCCTTATCCAGGAGGATATCCAGAAATTAAAATGTGGCACAGAGCAGCTGGAAACCCTGGGCCACACGTGGCACATCAGCACCATGCTGGGGTAGGTCTGAGGGTGACCATAATTCCCAGATCTGCAAGATCTGCCCCCCACCCTTTGCCCACCCTAAAGCCCTCAGTAATTTCAGCCTGATACAGAATTTTTCACCACCTCTGCAAAACCAAGCTGGGTGAAACCCTTTGGGAAGTCAGGATGGTCTCAACTGGCTCAAAAAATGATGAGACAGTTTTTTCAAATTTTGGGGATTTTTTTTGGCTGGTCTCAGGCAGGACAGTGGAACAGCCCCCAGTGAAAGGCTTTTTCCAGCAGTTTTGAAGCCTGTGGTTTGCTCCAGAGGGACATCTCACACTCCCCAGAGGCCTTTTTATGAAACCCCAGAATGATTTGGGCTGTGACTCTGAGGGTCTCAAGTCTCAGGTGGGGGAAGCACAAAGCCTGCTGGGCTTGGGGGAACAACACTGGAGAACCTCCGGGGAAAAGTGGTGGTGAAAACCCTTAATGCAAATTGGATAGAGAAAGGGCAAAAAAGGAGGGGAAATCTCTACAACAAATATCATTGTTCCAAGCCTGGGAGCAACACCAGCCCAAACCCAAGTGGGGACCCAGAAACTGGGAGGGCTTTATTTGAGATTTTTTTACACTGGCATTTTATCTTGGGTTATTTTGCTGCTTTATTTTCTGCCTCCCTGGAATTTTTTCTCTTCTGCTTCTTA